TACTGCTTTACTGTATAGGTTTTTACTGTTTTACTTCATTGTTGTATGCCTGTATTTATGTAACACCGTGGTCCTGTGAGGCACGACATTTCGTTCCACTGTATGTCCCCACATGCAGCAGAATGACAATAAAGCTCAACTTGAACTTGAACTTGAACTTGAGAATTGCAATTCTGCATCTGGTTGCTACTTAAATTCAAATAGAATTAGAGAGTTGAATTCAAATTTAAAAGGCATCCTTGATTCAGTTCTGAATGGAGCAAAACCCTGTTGCTAACAAACAACACTGCTCTCACCACAAGAATTATGATGGTTCTATTTTACAGGCTAAATAAAATCCTGACTTGAAATAACCAGCATAATCTAACATAAAAAAAAAAAAAAAACTTCTAACAAAGCAAATAACACACCCTCCATCTCTTTCCTGCAGGTGAACATGCTGATTGGGATAGTGGTCTTCAACAAGCTCATGTCTAGAGATGGCATCTCAGACAAGTCCAAAAAGCAGAGAGCAGGGTAAGTGAAGGTCAAAGTAATGGCTATATGATACCCATCTATTTCTGGATTTGCACCAAGTCACTTATTTACCACTGGCCTGTTGAAGGTTTTAAAATATCCTGTCAAGTATTTGTATGGGCGAAATAAATTACCCATGCTCTCTCTCTCTCTCTCTCTCTCTCTCTCTCTCTCTCTCTCTCTCTCTCTCACACTCTCTCACACACACACACACACACACAAACACACGACCACTAAAAGTTGAAAAACATCAGACTGAAAGCCAAGATATGACAGCTTCATTAATGGACTTGTATTGATTTGCTGGCCTGCTGACCTCAGGCTAGTCCTCTGATAGCTCTGTCATTTGCTAAGTGTATATTCATAGTTCATGTAACTGCATATACTGACAGGATCAAGGAGCCCTTGTGCTTTTAAAATGCTTGTTCTGTTTTGCCTTTGTTGGATTGGACACAAAGCAGAGTGATCCATTAAACACTTGTATTAATGAGTGGACTGCCACATCCCTTACCTCAAACAAGAGGCTAAATCGCACTGAGAGATTGAATATTCCCATTCCGCTCCATGAATCCGGTACCTGGTAACTTCAAGAGCATTCTCACAGCCCTTTGTCTTTAATTAAACTAACGCTGCATCAGAAACCCCCATTTTTAAGCAAAGATAAGAGATTTACATTGTTTAAAATGAGCTCACGGTTCAACTGCTGTCAAGCCTATTGTCATGCATGGACATGTTTTCGCTAGTTCTATACTGAAGGCATGAGAACAGCCTTAATGCTCGCAGTGCAACTGAATTAGTGCATCTAATAGCTACCAATAGCCTCTCCGCATTGAGTGTACACTGTACAAATGTCATTTAGATATGTGGCATTGCTTTGGTGGACCACCATACCGACATCTTGGCAGGAAACTGTGGGTCTTACTAATTGAATGAGGAGCTAATCAGAGATCTGAGCTAATCCAATGACTGGATATTTTTAAAATCCCTCCAGGCAAGAGTACGTTCTGCAATTTTGCCCTAAGTTATTTGTCTTTTTTCCACTTTTCTTTTCCTGTAATGTTTATGTACAAGGGAGATCAATGCATATTGGGAGCTGCAATGGCTAACTATGGATTTTTAAGATAGTGGCTTTGATATAAAAATGTCCTAGAGTTTAAATTCAATTGGACTAATTTTCATATTCACACACTCTCTCATGCTGTCTTTCACATACAGTGAATATGCTGTTGCAATAATTTTTTAGTTCAGCAAACATCACTGTTCATTGCTCATATTTACAGTAGGTTTTAGGGGTTTGCTGTCAGTCCTTAATCCCAAATATTACAATTTACAGCTTAACTCTTTATGTTTTGTGCATGAATGTTACCTCAAAATATCCAACTAATTGAGAGGGGGTGCTTTTACTTTTTAAAGCAACCTGACTACACCTGGTGGGCGATAAAATAGACCTCAAGGAGGGACCCAAGCCATATCTAGAGACCGCAGTATCAGATAATTGGTAGTGGGCCAGTAAGCAACCGCATTGCAATGCATTAAAACCACTCAGAAACCTTAGCAAGAAACCTTAATCATATTTTAAGAAACCTTAGTCATATTTTATTCACAATCCTTTATTATTGTGGTGGACATATTTCCTAAACAGTCTTATTTAGTAAATTAAATACTAAACTAAATTTAGCATCATGCTTTCTGTGTTTTAAGGCTGTGTGTGTAAATGAAACACAAGTCCACTGTTGTAATAAGCTGCTGCTTCTCTTCGTTGCTGATCCCGAGTGCCCCTTATTTCCAAATTTCTGATGTTCAGAGCACTTTCTCCAAGTCTGTGACGTGAGGCTGTCTTTTGTTTCCTTTACACTTTCAATCAGCATCTCAGAACACACACTAAATTCAAACCAAATGGGATAAAGTATATGTATGTACAGTAGTTCTGTGTATTTTTTTTTTACGATTTTGGAGCTCCATACAGTTAAGCGAGTTGAAATAACTGTCGAGTTTGAGTCAAGTGTAGGATGTCTGTTCAGTAAATCCATAAAGCACTGGACAAATGAATTCCATTTAGCCAAAAGAAAATGTATGTCTTAATTTCTAATTTCTTATTATTATCAATGTTGAAGTGCTGGGGTCTGTTCTTCATACCTCACTTAATGCATCTGAGATGATTTGACAGATCTTTTAATCCTGATAACTGATCTCTGGATAATTTGGTTCTTCAAACAAGTTAGCAGATTAGATTAAAATGTCTGGATTACGTTGTCTAAAATTACTTTCTGTTGTCATGTTCATTGAAAAGGGCAGATATATCCATACTTGAAACCATGATCAGCAATGCAGTGATTGGCTGGCGGCAAGAAAGCAACGTAATGACATCATATAATTAAGTTTCCCCTTCGGGAACTCGAGCTACGTCGGAAAATGCTAGGGGAACGCCTTCAACGATACCAAGCTCTGAATCATATGTGTAATCAGTCCAATCGATGGGCGAGACGTCAGAGGCGGGTGACGTCATGACCAGGAAGCTTTAAAAGCACGTGAGGTGCAGCCGGCGTTAGCTTTCTGTCATTCAGCAAAGCTCTCTGTGTGTGTCGGTCACGATCTATGTTCTGTGAGTCTTATTTATTGTTGTCTGTCCAAAGTTACACAAGCATTCAGCAAAAAAAAAGTATAAAGCTCCAGCAAAGAAAAAAAGATGTCTAAAGCAAAGACAAACAAGGGCGAAAGCAGATCGCGTTATTGACTGTGTGTTCCTCCCTGCCCACGCTACATCACGAGCGGGGATACACACAGTTTGTGCATGGTCTGTTTGGGAGCGGAGTACGCGGCGTCGGCTCTCGAGGGGGCCGACTGCCCGCATTGTGAGCAGTTGCCACTGTGTTTGCTTCGCTCCCGGAAGGCTCTCTTTGAGGAGGGAGCCTTCACCAGCGTTCCTCACGGTGCTGGCCCCGCTTCCGCCGAGGCGGAGCGGCAGCTGCACTCGTGGGGTTCGCAGCTGGATCTGGTGGAGGGAATGGAGACGGGCGAGTCCCTATCTTCTTCCTCACCTGCCAGATCCACTGCCCGCTCGCTGGGATCGGAAGCCCGTCCTGCGGTTTCTTCCCCCCGGAGAGCGGACTCGGCGCTTCTCATATCTTCCTCCGAGGAGGTTGTCGAGGATTCGCCCCCTCAATCCCCACAATATGAGGAGCTATTGGAGGTAGTGCGGTTACAGAGCGATGACCCGGGTAGAGTAGACGCTTGCGAGCTATCTGTCGCCCGGCGCGACATCGTCTCTGAAGGCTCCGGTCTTGCCCTCCAAGCCACTGCGAACGCTAGCAGCTCCAAACACACCAGAGACCAGTCTCGAGAGACTGGTTCCCCTAGTAGATTATTTAGCAGCGTGGAAACTACTGCCAAATGTATCTCGTTGGGTCCTGCAAACTGTAGAAAGAGGCTATTGCATTCACTTCGGCGCTCCGCCGCCACCTTTCAAAGGGGTTTTCCTCACATAATTGCTCACTGTCAAACAGGTCATGTCTCGGATCAGGTCCGAGGACTGATTTGTCACGATAGATATAAAAGATGCTTATTTCCATGTGTCCATCCTTCCCAGTCACAGGAAGTTCCTGAGGTTTACTTTCAGGGGCAAAGCTTACCAATATCGGGTCCTTCCCTTCGGCCTAGCACTCTCACCACGTACTTTCACAAAGTGTGTGGATGCTGCTCTGGCTCCTCTGCGACTCCAATGCGTCCGCATACTCAATTACATCGACGATTGGTTGATTTTAGCTCAATCAGAGCAGATGGCGGTTCGGCATCGAGATGTCGTTCTCGCTCATATGAAAGAGTTGGGGTTAAGACTAAACGCCAAGAAAAGTGTGCTTTCTCCATTACAT